GGGGGCAGCGGGTGCCTCTCCCCGGGGTGTGCCGGTGCTGACTCAGGCGCTGTGTGGACCTGTCGAGGCCAGCAGGCCAGGGCGTGGGGCTGTGCAAGCGTCTGTGCTGCCCGTGTGGTTCAGGCACGGGGGTTCACCAGGGTGGACCCCCCCTCTTGTTGGCTATGGAGCCGAGTCCCCACCGTGGCCTTGGCGTGGGGATGGTGGTGTCTCACCGTGCTGGAAGCCCTGTCCCAGTGTGGTGGGTGCTAGAGCTGGTTGATGGTGGTGCTGGCACCATAGTCTGTGGGGGGTGACCAAGTGGGCATAAAGCCAAGGGGTGCAGAGCACTGAGGGCTGCCAAACCCCCTCGGCTCCAGGAGGGCTTCACCTGGGCTCGGGGTATCCGTGGGAGCTGGGCCCTGCCCCACACCGCAGGAATTGCTCGTTCGTTGTTCGTTAGCTTTCTGGTTGATCATTAACGAAGCCGCTGGCTGCAGCAGCCTGTGCCCGTCGGGTCTGTGCTCGATACCAGGGTGACGGGCAGCAATGTGGCCTTGGTATCTGCCAGCTGCACGGCCTGCTGGAAATGCCCTGGCACCAGCACTTCTAGTTTCGGGTCCTAGACAGAGACGGGGCGTGGGAGGAGGGAAAGGGAAGGTGTCTGCCCGTGTGGGACAAGTGCCAGCCTGGTGACGCGCAGCCATGACACAGCAGTGCCCGGCCACGCAGATGGACATGGTGGGCACTCAGCTGTGCCACCCCCCACATACCAAAGCCCCCAGCCAGGCTGTGGCGCGGGCGGGCTGACGAGCCAGTCTGTAATTAAGCTGATGAGTTGAGCGTGGTGTTTTCCCTCCGACAGGTCTGGACAGGCCAGGGCGGCAAACACCTGCGCGGGGGCTGCAGTGTCCCTGGGGCTGGGATGGGACCCTGCAGCTCTGCTCGGTGGGTTGGGGGTGGGGGGTCTCAGGGTGGCATGGCCCCATGGAACACAGAGCAGGGTGGGTGATCCCAAATCAGCCCTGGGTGGGAGAACCTCGAGAGTCTGAAGTCATGGCGAAACTCGGGTGACGTCAGCAGGTGTGCTGGCAGGACGTGCTGCTCGGGTAGACCTAATTCCCTATATGGAGTGGGCAGTGCTGGGGTGGTGGCAACTGGGACCCAGGAGCCACCCAGCTCTGCCCTGCTGAGACCCTGTGGGATGTGGGGTGGCTCTGGGGGCTTCCCTGGTTCCCATCCGGGTGCTGGGTCTCATCCCCCCGGCCAGCAGCCTGGCAATGGTGGGGGTCAGGAAGGGGGGGATCCCTCGAGGAACTCCTCCAGCTCTCCTCCCCTCTGCCACTGCTCTGGAGTGAAGAGGGGCCCCCAGCTACCAGCCCTGGGGAGGGGAGGAGGGGAAGGCTGTGGACTGCTTTCCTTCAGCAGAAGAGCTGGAAAAACAGGTTGTGCATGGCTGGGCAGGAAGGGGGAAGTGAGTGCAGAGCACCAGGAGCACTCGTTGCACTTGTTGCACCCAGCATGGGGCTGGGGGCTGAGCACTGCTCGCTCACTGCACCCTTCTGGCACAGTGCCAAGACTGCGCCTGCGCCCATGGGTGCCAGGGTGCCTCTCCCACCACCTGCCCCAGCACGTTCTGTCCCAGCCGGCCCCACTGGCTCCCCTAGCCCACAGCTTTTGCCGGGGTCCCACTGTAGGGCTGCTCTGGGCTGGCATCCCGCTGCTGGGTCCTGCCTGGGCAGGGTTGGGGGCACTGTGGCAGGCAGCCCCCAGCCCGGGGCTTGGCCATCGCCCCCCACCCGCCTCTGTCCTGCCGCCATCCCCAGATTCCTGAGCTGCACATGGGCTGACATAACCCCATGGGGTGGTGGGACTGGTGCTGGTGTGGCCCCGTGCCCGGTGCTGGGGAGTGCTGCGTGCCTCCCACCCTGGGCACATCGCCCTGCCGTGGCACAGCAAAGCGCTGCGGGTGATGCCGGGGCTGGTGGCGG